TACTTACTATGTGGGCCATAATAAGAAGTGAGAAATTGTCGTTTCTTTGGACCTTGATGTGAAGTTAAGATTTTTGATAAGCTCTAGGTATTGCAATTTCACACGTGTACAAAAGTATAGCTTAATTCAACTGGTGAGGGCTATGTGAATAAATGTAAGCGATGTGATGGAAGTAGCTCTTGGCCACTTTCCTTTTTTCAAAGTAGCTCTCAGATGAAAAAAAGGTTGGAGACCCCTGCTTTAAACTATTCAAAGATTGTTTAAAAAACTTTAATCTTAGAATGAATTTCCATCAAGTTACCGGTATTGTCCATGAACAGCTTAACTTCATTCAGTTTAGCAGTGAGTTACCTCTCCCTGCATTGTATTGCTGCAGCCGCTACTCCATGGCCTTTTCTGTAGGTTGGACTGCCCTCTTGAGGGCGTTGTCCATAATCGCGCCAACATTATTTAGCCTGTTCTATAAACCAGGGGTTCCCAACCTTTATTGTGCCAAGGACCGGCAGATACATTAAAAAAAATGTGCGGACCGGTTGTCAATTTTAGCTGATTTTAATATTTACTCACCAGCAGGTGGCAACAGAGGCTAATTGTATTTAACAGCCTGAAGAAATACCAATATGCATCCAAAACATATTAACAACGTTTAAAACCAGGATACAATTAAAACAAAAAATTAGGACCGCTTTACAAATATTAATATAATATATATATAGCCTAATATAGGTGGCAACAGTGGCTAATTGTATGTAACAGCCTGAACAAATAATAGAACAATATGCATCCAAAACATATTAACACAGTTTAAAACCAGGATACAATTAAAACAAATTAGGACCACTGTAAACATATTGATATAACTGAAATGTCAGGGAGACCCCTGGGCTTGTTTGCCAGCCATAATAACGTCATACCGGGGCGTTCGTTCCGGTGCACTGCGACAGCATTTAGCACTACATCGAGATTAAGATTAAACTAACTTCTTTTGGGAACACTCACATACCTATGGAGTTGGACAGATGTGTGTAAATTACTGTTCATGGTAATTTGAAAACAAATGCCGTTGTTGGACACACACAAACACACCGAACATACACACACACAGTGGAGCTGAGCAGAGCACACACACACACACACTCATGCGCCTTTGTGACCGGACATTTCCTTCATACAACGAGTAATAGGGGGAATAATCGGGCCGTTCGATGTGTGTGTGTGTGTGTGTGTGTGTGCGTGTGTAGAGGTGCGTGTGGTTGAAACGTAGCAGCCTGCAGTGGGGAACACAGTGAAGGCGGTGTGTACGCGCTGGTGCTGCACTTCTCAGAGGCTGCCTCCTGATGCTGCAGCCATTTCATGAAGTGAAGGAGGTTTTACAAATAAAAATATAGCTCTACACCCCTGGCCGCAATGTCCTTAAAATGAAGTCTGAGTTCGAAATATATCTCAAATAATGTATGCACTGCCATTTCCCCACATAAACATAACATGAAATAATATGACTGGTATAGGTGCGAAAATTGAAAAATAATTGAATTTTTTCTTTTTTTTTTGTGCAAATATTACGATAAACTCACAGCTATTTCGCGGCCTGGCAGTAACACCTCTGCGAACCGGGGGTCGGGAACCCCTGCTATAAACCACACAGCAACAGCAGTTTTATCCAGTGGCTCGAACACCAACGGTAAGGCATTTACAATAGCGTTACAGCTTGCAGTCAATGTCCACAGCGCAAATAATAATCCAAATTGTCCTTTGTAGGTTCCCACACACTCCTAATGCTTACGTCCTTGTCGAAAGCTTTGGACTTAGCCCATGCACTTGTTTCTCATGCTCTGATATAGCATCCAAATGGGGAAATCCATTATTCCCTTTGAGTCAACTGAAAATGTACTCAAAGGTTAAACTGCCGCTAAAGCACCAGATAGCGAATCTTACGCATGGGAATTATCCAAGTCCAGACAAGAATATCCTTTCGTGAATTTATTTTCAAGATTCGATATCATCAAACAAAGTGCATTTAACCATTCTCCTGTAACTTGCCATTTGCCTATCCTCAGGATTCCTCATGCTTTCCCCAGTGGTAAAAAAACCACATGCTTACATGTGCTCTAATCCCACCACCACCTGGCTCCAATATATATGATTACACCAGGTGCCCCAATTGCCCAGCGCTCAAAGATGCCTTCAAAATAAAGCCATAAATAATGAGCATAAACAACAATATGCCATAATGGCTCTTACAGGGAGGCTGAACGTTGGTATTGGGCTTACATGTTTGTGGGGTTGTGTGTTTGTGGATGCATGTGCGTACATAGTCACAGACAATATTTACATGTGCACTGTAAAATATGAATCCCAAGAAACTATAAGTGTTTGAGTGTATGAGGACTCACTGGCAAACACAGACACGTTGTCCTGGTAGGCCTGGTTCAGGGTGTAGTTGACGATGCTGTCCTCGTTGGGAAAGCCCTTGAAGACATCAACACTAACCTGGAAGCATAGGGCAAAATATCCTTTGACGACAGAAATGAACAAATCAAAACCTTTAATACCATCATAATGAAGGACTGCAGCATCTGCTTTGCTAGAATCAGAAACCTCTCCCTCTCTTTCTGCCTCAGTCATGTGAGAACATCACATGCAGCTGGCCTGTTTTGTTGGGAGCCAGAGTTCTTCACTGAACTGACCTTAGACATGAAGCGTGTCCAGCCGCAGGCAGCGTTGTCGATGGTGTCCATCTGCTCCAGCAGGATGGAGATGTTCGGAAGGCTGTAGTTTCCCTCCATCAGACCCTGCATTAGCTCACTGTCTGTGCCATTCAACAGCTCAGGGTGCTGCTGCAGCTCTGAGGACAGCTGGGGAGAATAGAAGGAGGAGGAACAGAGACTAATGTGTGTGCAAGGTTACATGTTTTCTGACTTAAGTCTAATTACTCGGAAAATATCAACTCAATGTGAAATTATCAATGCACATTATTTATTTTACATCATGATAGTACTGCATCTTTGATTTTGAAAGATGACTAGATTCTACCTGCTGCAGCCACACCAAGTGGTTGTGCAGACGACCCTCCTCCAGAAAAGTCCTGAGCTGGGCGGAGATGTTGAGCCAGACCCGGGTGTAGTGTGTCACGTTTCCAACAAAAGCAAAGGTCTCATTTGCCTACAGTAAGTGCAAACAGTTAATAAATGTTTGAAAAAAAAAAAAAAACATTTGTATGAATTCATCTATGAGTCCATATGTACTTTTGCTTTGGTAGTGCTACAGTCACGCTGCAAATAACATTTGATTCTGTTGATCCTTAAAAAAAGGAGAACATAAAACAACAAAGGCTCCATTGCATAACCCTGAAAACTGAAGCAAAACTCGAAAGGATATGGCATTCCACACTAAGCAGCAAGAAATGCGTTTACTTTGGCACAATAACCCTCATATAGACATATGATCATTTCTAACATTTGGGCTGTCTCTGTTGTAAATATATTATCCTTTATTTAAACACGACACCTATTGCACCTACATTACATTACATGTCATTTGTTAGACGCTTTTATCCAAAGCGACTTACATATTCAATACTATACACAACGACATGCTGACTGCAGTGGGGTTTGAATCTGTGACCCCCTGATCCGAACACCAACGCACA